GTGGACGTGTTCAGGGTCGATCTTACATTCAACACTGAAACACACAACCTCTGTCACACACACAGGTCACTCAAGACTATATTTTTGGTACAGACAGATCAATATTTAAGTGTTAGACAAGACTGGCATCTCGCAGTGGTGTGCACGAGGCTATAAATCCAAGTCTAAAAGGTAAGCTTGCCAATTTAGTTCCAGCAACTACATGTTGAGTGACGTTCTCAAACACCAACCTCTCCGAACAAAACGCAGTCTGTTTTCTGCAGCTCGGCACCTGACTGACAGAAACACACTTAACCCCAAATTTAACGTTATTAATCTGCTGTTCTCTTCCACACCCTTGCAACAGAAATCAACACCTTCGTCAGTCCAGCCCAGGGGTCAGCGACCTTTTTGATTGAAAGAGCCATTTCTGCCACTTCGCTCACTAAATTCAATGCGTCTGCAAAACCTGCTTATCAACTGGTGGCCCGTGGGCCACTTAGAGGTCGTTGGAGGAGGGCTTTTCTGCATGGCCAGTCAGGGTGACATCATAAAACTAAAATTATATAATGAATGTTTACATCATTTACTGATATTTTTACATTTTAGGATAAAAGAAAACACTGAAAGTTAAAAAAAAAAAAAAAAAAAAAAAACCTGTTTATATTGAATCTCTACAGGCTTATGTGAGTTTTTTTTTTTTAAACTTAAAATACCACATTGAAGTAACGAAACATAAATTTAAAGTATGCAGAAAAATTAGGCATTTTGCTGGACAAGTTATTGATTTTTTTTTTTATTTGATTTTATTGAGAGAAAAATCCAATTGTAAGCCTGGTTGGTTAAACGAATTAACTAAATGTAATCAACACATTTTATTCCTTATACGTAGCTTTCACAAATTTAGAGAAAATTTACAAAAAAAAAAAAAAAAACTGTTAAAACTTGCATTTTCTGTTGTGGGTATAAAAGAAAAAAAATTAAATACAGTATCACGTTAGTTTTGATCAAAGCTTCAAAGGGCCACAGATGACAGACTAAAGAGCCGCACGCAGCCCCAGAGCCACAGGTTGCAGACCAACACTCCACCCACTTTTTTTTTAAATCCTCTATCGTACTTGTGAAAAACTGGTATTAGTCACTTAAAAAAAAACAGATTTCTCATCCAAAAAGTCTTTTAAACTTCAGCAGACAGAAACTGAACTCAGTCCTGCTAATAAGTCCAAAAACCTCAAACTTCCCATGAACCCATTTACTCACGTCACCACTTTCTATCTGAAACAAAGTATGTTCCCCTCGCCTCAGCAAACATAACGAGCGGGGACAATTACTCATCTAGATCCCTGTGGAGGTGCAGCTCTGCGCTTGTGTTGCTGTTGCACAAACAGCCGTCCTAAATCGATACAAAACATAGAAACGAGAGTCTGATGAGTGGTCCTCTGGGGGGGTTGTGCCAAGCTTAAAGGGAAAATCATTTTGTGTTGGTGGGCCCAAACACTTCCTGATCCCCTGCAGGGTCCTAGCTGTCTCCATCTGCATCAGATATGTCAAAATTTGTGCTCGTCTGTGCTGATGGATTTGTCAACCTCACAAGCTTCGGTGTGCGTTTGCTCAAGCCAAAGAGCTTTTCTTTTCTGTCAGCTCGCCTGTTCGAGTTCACTTCAAGAAAATAAACTTCCTTTGACTGCTGTGATTTCTGCTGCAAAATTTACATCATTATATGGAAACTTTAGAGAGTAAAACGGAGCTCTGAAGCTTGCTTCTGTGCCTTTTTTTTTTGTTTGTTTTATTTTGAAAAAACACACAGAAGCTGTCAGCATTTTTGACCCAAACCAGTGTCCGTTTAATGGGTGTGCACAGGTATGTGTGAGGCTGTGCAGGAAACTGATCTGACCCAAGGGATTAGTGGCTGACGTGGTGAGAGCCCCTTATTCTGCTCCAGATGTTTATCGTGTCATAAAGGTCTTGAAGGTCTGAGCGGGCAGTAGGTAGGAACACAACCTCTTTTCAACGCACACACACAAACACACACAGAGGCACAAACATTCCAGCAGCAGACAAAGTTGTAGCCCAGTTCACAAATGGGCTGATGGGAAATTTCCCCCTCACGTGTGACTCATAAAGTATCAGAGGGATCGGGAAAGGTCAGTGGATCGGACGTGTTCACACAAGAACTAATTACATTTTGACTCTTGATCTTAACCTAAAGCTATAAGGCACGACAAGTGGAGGCACACACAAAACGACAAAAATGTTAAGACAAAACAAAAAGTTCCCACATGTAAGAGTTTTTCATTTGTTATCACTTTTAAAACTATTTCTGTACTTCTATGCATACAAAGCAAAACGTTTCTTGAACTATCAGTCCACATCCGAGCTGATAGTAATTCTCTGTATTTACATAAGCTGTTTTTACTTGGAACTGTTTGTTACAAACCATCCATCCATCCATCCATTATCTTTACCCACTTATTATTTTGGGTCACGGGGGTCGCCGGTGCCCATGTCCAGCAATCACTGTGCGAGGGGCGGGGGACACCCTGAACAGGTCGCAAGTCCAACACAGGGACACATAGAGACAAACGAGACAAACAACCATTCACTCTCTCACTCACACCTAGGGACAATTTAGAGTTACCAATCAGCCTAACATGCATGTTTTTGGTCTGTGGGAGGAAACCGGAGCACCCGGAGGAAACCCACGCATGCACGGAGAGAACATGCAAACTCCACCCAGAAAGGCCCCTGGACAGGGGTTTGAACCAAGGACCTGCTCGCTGAGAGGCAGCAGCTCTACCAGTTGTGCCACCGTGCTGCCCTTATTAAAAACCAAACATGTCAAAACATATCAACTAGTTTTCCAGCACTGTCATTGTTTTTCTCCTCACCCGTAAACTGATACAGATGATTTCAACGGATACAGATGGTGTCAGAAACTCATTACAATAAGCATTTAATCAACTGAACCTGTACAAGATGTTTTGTTCTGATCAAAGAGTGTTTCCAAGCCAAACACTTATGTGTCACTCTTACCAAATAAAAGTCAGTTCTAACAGCAAGGGTTTGGAGTTCACCTCTGGTTCGAGACCAGAGGTGGATTTCCCTCCTTGCAAAGAGCGTTGGCCAAAAATCTTACTCTGTCCTGTGTGGTGTTCTTTTTTCTAATGGGTACGAGAGAAAATACCTAACGCCACACATTCTGCAACCATTATTACAAAACGTTGGGCTGCTGTGTAAAATGTACATCAAAATACAGTAGAATGCAATGATTTGCAAATATCATAAGTCCATATTTTAGTCACAAATTCACAATGGAACATTGTACACATTTAACATGATAAAATGAAGAAATTGCACCATTTTTTGTAAAAAAAAATAAAGTAATTTAGAATTTTTTGGCTACAGCTAAGCTTTCGAAAAGTGGGAACGAGGGCAATAAAAGGATATAAATGTAAGCTGTATAGAAGAAACAGCTGGAGGAACATTTTGCAACAAACTAGATTAACTGGCAACAAGTCGATAAAAGGATTGCGTTAAAAAAAAAAAAAGAAGCATTTTAGAGAGGATGAAGCTCTCCAAAGTACAGATGGGCAGAGGTTTACCAGTCAGCAAAAAACTGCATCTAAAAATAGTGAAACAATAAAATAATGTTCCTCAACAGAAAACAAGGAAGACTTTTAATATGCCATCATCTAAAGTTCATAATATCATCAAAGAGTTCAAGATAGTGGAGAAATCTCTGCACACAAAAGACAAGGCTGAGTCAGTACTGGATCTTTGGATGTACTGCAATAAAAACAGTTATGGACATCACTGCATGGGTTCAGAAAGACTTCTATAAATCATTGTCTGTAAGAGCAGCTGCGGCTGAGTGGTTAGTGGGAGAGTTGTGGGTTCGACTCCACCAGCAGTCACATGCTGAAGTGTCTCTGGGCAAGACGCTGAACCCCTAATTGCCTCTGATGTGTGTCCCATCAGTGTATGAATGTGATAAATCACTAATTATGATTAGTTTGATTATCTTTGTAGATATATGTGTGTGTGGAGGTAAATGAGCGCACACGTGTTGTAAAGCAGCTTGAGCATCTTAATTAGCACTACAGACCATTTACCATTCATGTAAGGACAGGTCACAATGTCATCCACAAATGCTCCATCAAACAAGGAAGAAGCCATATGTGAACACTATCCAAGACATTATACTGCTTCCATTAAAATAGTTGGCGCATCAGGAAATTCTGTCAAAGAAGACACAGGTTTGTGGAACAGCGAACCCTACATCAAATGAAAATGGGAGAACAGTCACCTCCAAAAACTCCAACAGCCTCATTCCTAAATGTTTACAGACTGTTGGTAAAAGAAGATGTTTTACACCATAACATGCCCCCGTCTTTAATTTATTATTATTAATTTTTTACCTGTGTCACTGCCATGAAATTCACAACTGCCTCCCTCCCCACCCAACAGTTAATGCTTACTCTATTGTGGATAAACTAAAATAAGGGCTTATGAGATTTGCAAATTCTTGCATCCAGTTTATATTGAAAGAATTTCACTACAGCCCACATTTTTCGAAATATAGGGTTGTAAAATTAGCAGCTTATTATAAAACCACTAATCACAAAATAATACTTTCCCATTATTTTCAAAGTTGACAGTCAGTCCTGTAAGAAGCCAGTTTCACGGTGCCAACATCTGTTGGAGCTGTGTTGCGCCCCTTGTTCCAGCTGTGCCAACCGTGCGTAAAGCGCGCCGCGCGCCTTTGAGCGTGCCAGCTGCGGTGTCAGTCATAAACAAAACTCTTGTTACCTTTTAGCTCCCAAGTCATGCTCCGACAAGTTCCCAAAGTGAGCAAAAACGCAGAATTTCTAAAGTGAGCCAAACTTTCTTGTGATGGTTCTAAACAATTTGCGTTTTATTGAAGAAAGACTGAGACGCCTCGCAACTTTTTAATGTACAAAATCCCCCTTTATGGCGAACTTGAGCCAGCGCGTGGAAGTGAAAATAAATAAAGAACTCACCGAGATACTGCCTGATGTCCTGCAGGATCTGAGGAGCTCCACTGTTCAGCTGGAAGAAAAGGGAGCCGAAGCAGAAGAGGAAGAGCGCAGCCATGCAGAAACCATAACCTCGCAGGGAAACTCGCAGCGGCAGCGCCGAGAACAAGCTGGACTGTCTGCTCAAATGTAGTTCTCTGATGTGGTTGGGGGTCTGGTGGTTGCTGTGAAGGGGACTACCGCTGAAATTCTTCATCATCTCCTCCTCACAAAGCAACGTGGAAAGTCACCCATCCGCCTCGGGAAACTGGAAGTTGCCGTTTGGAGAACATTTGATGGTTTTGGAGACGCGCACTGCACCAAGGAGCTCCACCGCCGCTGCCACGGGGGCTTGTTTTTGCGCACAGCCTTCTTCTCCTGCTCCGTCCTCTTGGATGACTGTTCCTTCCCTCCGTTCTTACAACCCACTTAAGGGTCCATCCTTCCCCTCTCAGTCTTTTTCGGTGTCAGATTACTTGAACATGGAAAGACGACGAAGAAGAAACCCCCATTCCAACTATCAGACTAGATTTGGTTTGTGCGGGTGAAACAGCGCCTCTCTGTGTCCAGCTCACGGACCTCCATAACTTTCTTCAATCATCTGTCATGAAAGTCGCGTTACAGTAAATGATAACGCAATATTAAAACTCTTAAATTGATAACACATCGATATGGATAAAAGGAGTAGATCAAATCGTTTGAAGAGGAGTTCTGAGGAAAAGACCTGTTAATATCTTACCTGTTGTAGATAGCTTTTTGAACGACCTGGATTAGAAGAAATGGAGTGAAATGGTACATTCCTTCTGTCCATCTGAGTTCCAAGTAGGGATCCCCCCCCCACCCACCCCCGGATCCCATAGTCATAAATCCAGTTTAGAAAGTAAGTGATTCTTGATCAGCTTCATACTTAAAATCCAATATGGCTGACTTGAAAAGCCGTGATGGCTACAGTAATAAACCTTTTCTTTTCACTTCAGTCTGATTGTAGCTCATTTAATTGCCATAAATATTATTTATGTCATTATTTGACATGTTTTTTTTTTTTTTTTTACATGTGTGGTTCACATTATTTATTTATTTTGAATGCTGATTTGTTTGTAAGTTACACCATGTAGGAACCATTTTTCAGTGCTATGTTGCACTGGGGCCACTTTAAGTTGTTATTGTTTAATACTGTGTTTTTAATGCTGTGAAGTGTCCTTGGGTGTTTTGAAAGGCGCTGACAAATAAAATGCATTATTATTATAACCCTCCTCCAAGTGGGCGTGTGCAGCAGGAAAAGTTTGATGCCCTGCCTAAAGCTTTAAGAAGTTACATTGCCTTTTTTTGGTTGAAGATTTACTTATGTTCCAGTGGACTCAGTCCCTCTTTAGTTATGTGCAGCCAGTGAGGTATGCTTATTTGTGTTATGTTTGATATTTATAGTAAATTTGTATGCAATATATGAATATGTATATTTTGTACATTATGTGTTTTGAGCAGTTCGACGGTAGATTTGATGACCATAAGTGCCGTTCAGATGAATAAATCCATCAGTAGCATAAGAACTATGGTGCCTATTTCCTGGAGGGAGTGATAGCTCAGTTGTCACAAACACAACTACTCTAGGTGTTGGATGCAGAGTTTAAATGCACAGAATAAAGAGAAATTCATTGTTATCAGCTTGAATTGCTAATAGATTTTTGCCTGACTATTGAATACAAAAATTAGTAAAGCCTACTGGTTTTGGGATTGACATCATTCTCAGATTCTGATTCCAACTTTTAAGGTGAAAGGAAAGCAGCAAAATTCTCACCAGATCGACAAGCTAACAGTTACGAAAGTGAAGACCAAAACAATATTTATTCCTGCAAAATCTCCAATATATACTTTTTTTTTTTTATCAATTTACTATGTTCTAAATATTTACACCATTAACACCAGATAATTGTATGGTTAATCTGGTAAAACTATTTTATTCCTGCCAGAAAAGATTTAGTCTGCACCAAAAGTGCTACAGCTAGCTGCTGTTGCTGTTTATGCTTTCTAATAGCTGTAAAATTGTATGTAAATAACAATTCTACGCAAGAGAAAGGTTTATAGAATACACCACTAACATTTTTGAGACTGAAGTTGTTTTAAGAACACACTTTGGAAATGGGCAAGTCAGGTTAGCCGTTAGCTTGTCAGTAAAGTAAAAATGCATGCTGAAAGGTCAAAGTTCATGAAAGGTCATCGTAGCATAGCCACATTGTAACAAGTACTATTTGTTGAAATATATTTTCAGTGTTGTGAACTTTGATACTAAGTGGTTCTTTGATCCCCTTTACATCTCCTCCTACATGTCACTGCGTGAGTGCAGCTACAGCGTGCGCTCTCAGGACATTGTTACATGCAGTGTTCCCTCAGTGCAGACTGAACTTGGCAAAAGGGTCTTCTCTGACTCCGCTCCTGTTTCCTTGAATATCTTGTAAAAAGATCTGAAGCTCTTGACCTCTCCGAGTGGCTTTAAACATCTGTTAAGTTCTTGACAAAAACCAATGCAGACATGTTCCTGCTTTTAGTTTTCTACACCACCTTGTAATCTAGCTGTATTTTTTGGAACTTTTCCTTTTGATTGTCTTTTTGGTTGCCATTTTATTTTAACTTGTTAAATAAAAAAATGTATGCATCTTTTATGATTGTCCACTGTTGTCATCAATCTTTGTTAAAACATTCAGGTCTCAGAGTCCCCGTGGCTCAATGGGATTAACATGCATAAATAAAGGTTGAATGAATGAATGTTTCTGTGTGGTTGACTTCACTCCCATTTTGATGGTCTTTACAACATTGGAGAACTCTTTTTATTTTTATTTTTTGGCATCTCTGAATAATATTTGATTGTTGCAGTGGTCTGTTCAATGCTTTGGTGGTTTATATTTACATGTAAGATACAAAAATGTCCACATGAGCCAGCTGATCTGCTGGAACCTCTCGTAAATATTAACAGCATGAACATGTTTTTGTTTAACAGCAAAACTCATTTGTTAAATTTCAGACAAGCGTTCTAAACACTCAAACATTTTGCATAAAAGACCTCCTGCCTTATATTAAACAGTGTTTGACTTGGTGTCTCGTGTGACTCCTGCTGTTTCTGATTTAAAACTGGATGCGTGCACAGATAATGCACTAAATCTAATAATCTTTTATATATATATATATAAGGCCGATTAAAGAAGTATCTGCAACAGGCGAAAAAGTTAATTGTTCATAACATTTTCACAAAACTCCACTTCAAAATAAATGCATAAATAAATAGGAACTTTCACATTAATCTGAAACTTGTTTAAACGGGTCTATGAATAAATTCAATTCACTTTATTTGTTCCCACGGGGCGATTTAAAATCAATTATAAGTTTGGTGATATATCGTTTTGAATGGCTGCTGAAAATAATGTTAATTTCTGCGTTTTTGAAACTTCCGCCATCTCTTCAGGCAAGTTGTTGGAGCGTTACATTGAACCATATATTTTTCCACAGCCGTGCTACAACCCACAATTAGACTACACCTTTATGAGCTTATTCATAACCCTGCACTAAAAGCCATCTGTCAGGGGAGCAAAACAGTTATAAAAATGGGTTTAGAGAGTAAACATAATAAAGGACTATAGAATAATAGCATTGAAGGGCTGTGGGGTCTGGATTTTCCCCAGGTAAATTAATTTATATAGTATGGTAAGTATTGTGCAAGCCAGGCACAAAAGTTGTAAATGAATTCAAGGTTTATAGCCCAGTCAGCCAGCCAAACCAGCTCAGTCTTTTATTGCACAGGTCCATATGAATCTAAGTGGAGCTACTGCTCCAAATCAGATAATTTAATCAAACCTACTTGATCCGGATCTAAATTTTCTCTGGTGCAGTCTGTTTCTGATGTATAGCTTAGATTGATCAAGTTTGTAGTCGTCTGGAGGAAACTCAAACGTTCACACATCTTCAAACTGGAGCAGCTCTACAGCTTTGTTACGTGATTAATTTAGTGCCTATGTGTTGGTCAGCATTATAACAAAGCTAGAATTTAGCTGGAGTTTCTCTGCAGGTTGTTTTTATTTTTCAGATTTAATGAGTTTGCCTTCTCACCTCAGTTTGTGTTCCTTCATCACATTGCAAGAGGCAAACAGAAATGGACCTGTGTGTCATAAATATTGCACAACTGAATAAATGTCAAGCGGCACGGTGGCGCAGTTGGTAGAGGTGCTGCCTCTCAGCGAGAAGGGGGCCAGATTGAATCCCAGACATTCTGGGTGGAGTTTACATGTTCTCTTCGTGTACGTGTGGGTATTCTCTTGGTACTACGGTTTCCTCCCACAGACTAAAAACATGCATCCATCCATCCATGCATCCATCCAGGGGCGGACTGGGACAATAATCCAGGCCGGGAATTTTGATACCATCCCAGGCCACCACCACATGATTAACGCAAACCACCAAGACTGAGTTCAATTGAGCGCACTTTGAATGCATGTTGTTTGCACACGTCTAAAAAGCCATCCATAATTTCCCATCTATTCATTTTCACTTATTGACTATTTATATGTATTGGCTATTCATATAACAAAAAAAAAGTTCTTAATCTCAACGGAACTTTACCTGGTAAAATAAAGTTTAAATAAAATATTGTAATACAAGGATTTTAATATTCAGATAATTTATTGGAGTAATGAAGGGTATACACAAAATATCCTCAATAATCCAGGTAGAAAATCTAAAAAAGTTAAGTCAGGTCCTCTGGACAGATTAAAAAAAAACAACAACTTGTTGAAACGTTTAGTCTTTAATCCAAAAGACTGTCAGTTTGAGAAGCTGCAACAAACTTAGTTTCAAATAGTCTCTTTTCATAGTGGATCAACCAGTTTGTTGCTGACATCCAGAACTAGCTGTTAACATGATAAAGGAGGACCATCATCAGCCTAACAATGGATCGTTAGTGCTCTAGGCTGTTTGCTATTCACAGGGGGCTGAGAGATACCAGCAATAACAGCATTGTAAGAGGGCTACAGTTGGACACAGAGGCCTCTGTCCCTGTTTAATGATGGATGAGTTCTCATCACAAAGATGGCTTCCTTTACTCCTCTCTCAAACCAACACTTCTCTCTATCAAGGATGAGCACATCTTCATCCCTGAAAGTGACTGCTGGCCTGCAGATGAGTGTAAACCACAGAGTTCTCCTGGCCTGATGATGTTGCTCTTTGGCCCAGCACAGA